TCCATCAAGTCCGAAACACATGGAAAAAGAATTTGAAGCAAGCCCCTGGCTCGCTAAAATGCTAGGAACGGATACATCATCCATACCAAGCCCTAATAGACCGTTCGGAGCTGCACCATTCAAAAATATTCCAGTCTGCTCCTTACCACAACTGCAAAACAGTAGCACCTCAACATCAAAAGTGTCCTATACAAGTTACAATTGGCACATCTAGGAATAATATAAACATCATACTCTCTAATGCAGATTTCAAATATCCTTTTATTGGCAAAGCAATGAAAAAATTACCCACCCAAAACCAATCCGTGCATTAACATCTTTTTGTTTCGCATCGTCAGTGGTTAGGTGCAAAACATCCTCTACCAGGACCCCCGTAGATGAGGTGTCATTCGACAGATACTCAATCTTGTATTGACAATCACTAGCTGCTGAAGCGCAGTGTTGTCGTTGTTCACAATATGTGCTGTTGCAAGAAACCTTTTTGCTTGTTGACGACGTATTAGGGCTGTAGATTTCAAATTCTATTACCTGGTTCATAAAAAGTATACAAAAAAGTAATGGTCAATGAAATGAACCACCAGAGCATGTTTCATTGAACCAAATGCAATAACAATGTTTACCTGTCTGGTAGAAAGTTTTGGATACTGCAAGAAGCAGCTTAATAGTTTTTTATGGTATAATAAAACAATGTTATCTTATTGCACATTTTTAAGTTTTTTAAATTTGCATTCCTTCATGATCAAGAAATTCTCACCCTAAAGATGAGAACTTGAACTTATTTATTGCAGTTCAAATTTCACAAAAAAAGAAGAAGACACATTTAATCTTTTTAAGTCATCCTTCCTCCTAGCCCTTACATTAAAAAAACCAACATAACACTGAAGTCCATTTGAAGTAATTACAAGTCAAAAGACTTCAAGTAACCAAATTTTCAGGAGAAAAGGTAGCAATTTCCCAAGCTGTATAAGATTGAAGGAAAAAAAACTGAGTAATTCAGCTCACTTACATCTCCATTTGAGAGCTTTACGCCATGCACGCAACTGCTACAATCACATGGCAACCAGAGCAAATTACTGCCCGTGTCTAAGGCCACAAGGTATGATGTGCTTGGTGTCCCCACAGAAACATTCGCATAATGCAAACTGAAATTCAACAACAACAACAACAATAACAAAAAAATTAAACGCTGGAAAAAGTGAGGACCACATGACCCAAAACAACAAAAATATGAGAACTTTAAAAAATAGAAAAAAGTCCATACTGTCCAAAAGCACCAATCCGATCAGTCTCGTTGCCATAAACGAAGGTAAGCGGCGTCGTTTCGTCGGCGGTGGAGAGATGACGCCCTCGAATCAAGCGATCTCTGTGCGCCATAGCAGCATAGTATTCGGCACTCCCCTTCTCCGGCAGCTCATCGGAACCCAGAATTGCCTTGACGGGATCCGAGAATCGGTGGTGGATATCGAACCCGTATGACCCGAACCCGGAACAGGTCCGAGAAACCCAACACAATATGAAAACAGACACTAAAAGACGCGTGGCAGTGAAAGAAGAAGAAGAAGAAGCTCTGATGCAAGTAAAGGCCATGGCTTTATTGATTCAGAGTGAGAGGCAGAGCTTTTCGATAATTGGGTTTTGGAGGGCATGAGTTAGAATATAATATAATAGAGAAGCCAGGGCCACTCATAGGTCTAGGAGTAGCTCCACCACTATTCTCAAGTCGTCATTATTCCGCCACTGTTCTACTGTTCTCATGCATCCATGCCCAAGTCGCGTCACCGTTCTCATGCATGCATGCCCAAGTCGTCATTATTGAGAGAGAGAGAGCACTCTTCTCATGCATGCCCAAGTCGTCATTATTGAGAGAGAGACAGATGGCAAGCTGGTAAAGGTGGCAAGCTGGGATGATATTTGAAAGTTGGGAATTGCTTTAACTGTCCATTTCTTGCCTCCTAATTGTGGATCATGATCCAAGGGAAATCTTGGCTCGTACAATATAGGTACATACATTGTCTAAAAATATCTGTAAATTATGAAACATATAAATATAAATATAAATATTTATTTAAATAAAATATAGGTATATTATTTACCCAAAAAAATTATAAAAAAATAAGTAAACAATAATTAATAAAAAATATAGATACATAATAACTTATAAAAAATAATAGATAGATTATTATAGAAAAATAGGCACACAATAATTTATAGAAAATATAGATACACAATAATTTATAAAAATAATAGGTAGATTATTATCCATGAAAAAACTAGGTACAACAAATGAAATTCAAGTTCTAAAATAGGTCGATTATTATTTGGGAAAGATGGAACAAAATTTCAAAAAGGTAATAAGGAAAACAGCCTTTTTCGGCCAACACAATGTTGACTGTATTAATGAATTTTAAGAATAGCAGACAAATTTTTTAGAAGGAATCACCACAATAAATTGAGGAACCAAAAATTAAAACACCACCCATTACACATTGAAATATAAATAGGGGTATTTTGACAATCAAAAAATTATAATAAATCAGATATTGAGCTTAATAAGGTAAGTGATTAGTTGGATCCTAGTCATGAGTTTTTATTTATAAAAATTGGGTATTATTTATGGTATTGAATGGCCATTGCAACCTTTTGTTGATGAAGGTCATCATCAGAATCATTATTGAAGAAATTTTGTATAGCATTCCCACATGATTCATGAATTCATTGTAAGAAGAAGAATGAGATAGGAGATTGTGTGTTTGATTGGGTAGAATAATTCCTCTTAAATAGACAAAAGGATAAGGAGGAAGAGAGGAAATGATGGCTAGATGACAAAACGAAAACCCTTTTTCGTATCTGATCATAATTGAATGAAGATAGGAAAAGATAGAGAAAGATAAGGAAATCCAATAAAGGGAGATGGACAAAGATGAGCAATAGTTTAGAACATGATTGAAACATAACAATAGGAGATGGAAAATAATGAAGAAGACAATAGAAGGTGAGCATGAGTTCAGAGCATTATTGAATGAGGATAAAGGAATCCAATGAATTAAAAGTAAAAAACCAATACACCCAAAGTCTATGAAATAAACTGTTGTTGTCCTTTTTTTTAAAAAAAAAAAAGTGAAATTAAAAAATGTTTTAGAATTTGGATTTTTTTTAGGTTAAAATGTTCAGAAGATTAAATCACGAATATTGAAACAAAAATAATGTCAAAAAAAAATTAACGATTAAAAAAAATTAGAGATTAACCATTCTTAACCAATTTAATAAATCTGAGGACTCAAATTATGAGTCTGCATGGTTGGAGGAAAAAACATTTTGAGTCCAGGCAATACTTGAATAGTTGTATTTTGGAGGGTGAAAATTTGAGTTTAGCCCTAACATGGTTGGAGATGACCTAAGGTAAGTTGAATTTAAAGGACGTAGCCAAATTTACTATAAAAATAAATCCAACTGGGCTAACAGTGAAGCCAATGCTTTGCCTCCTGGTTTTATTCAGGGCACATCAGATAAGGAGCTTGTTTGCTTTGGATGGGTGCCCCAGATTCAATTGGGGGTCTCTGTTTCACTCTGGATGGGGATCTGTAATTGAAACCCTGCAATTTGGGCATGTCCTTGTTGTTTTGCCATTCATTAATATTGATCAGCCTTTGGCTTCTGGTGGAGAAGGGTCTGGCTGTTGAAGTGAAAGGAAGAGAAGATGGGTCGTTTTGCAAAGATGAGATGGCCAAAACGCACAGGCATGCAATGATGGCAGAGGAAGGAGAGAGCAGCTAAGAACCAATGCAAGGAAAGCTGCCAAAATCTTTGGAGATCAGAATCTGCACCAAGACTTTTTTTTTTTTGGTCTGAAATCAGAATCTGCACCAAGACTAGATTTGTGAATTTGTCACTTTTCTAAAAAGAAACGTTTCAAAAAGGTCCCTCTCTCTATCTCTCCCCTCCCATGTCAGGTTGGCAAAATGACCTTATTTCATTTTATTTTAAGAAAGCTAGACGACCCTATTTTCAATGTTACCCAATTAATTTTGAGAGTGTTATATATTGAAGTGAACTTCATGCTTAGAGATGCTGGAACTTGGGTTATTGCCACTATAATATTTTGGTGCATAATTTATTCTAAAACCTGCCATAGAAATATAAACTTTAGACCCCCAACTGGGATACATGCTTACCAACTTTTGGTCTCAACAAATGGGCTCTCCTAAAATTAATCAATACGTTCATTGAGCTTCCCACCCAGTTAAATAGAACTGATACCACTACGAGATTGAAGTAGTTCTTTCTAAACTTTTTTTTCTTTTTTCTTTTCTCGTAGTTTTTTTTTAATTCCAACTCGATTTGTGTGTCACGACTCACGTTAATAAATTAGTATATATTTTTAGTATAATCAGACCGAATCGGATGAATCGGTTGGGTTCATAGCTCCCACTTTTGCAAAATGTCGGTTTGTTGAACCAAATTAGTCAACTCCATAAGACCTTAAAAAGTTTTAATGGATTTTAACGACGTGGACAAAATTGATGTGTGAATTAACGTGAAGAATGATCCCTGACACAAAAAAGATAAACAATTATAACTCAAAGTTTCGTAAACGTCACAAATGTTTGTGACAAACTTTCTTTTATTTTTTTCCACTCGGCCTATGCATCTTTGAATTTGAGGTATGGTGGGTTAATTAAATTAAATATTTTTATAGAGATGGACTTGTTATTTAGGTTAAGATCTAAATAAAATTCCATTCATTTTCTCAAAGGAGAAAGCTTGAAACTTGAAGTGTTTGTGGTATGGGTAACCAGAGATATGTATGAATACAATAGAATAATTTTTGCTTGCTAATTTTGGTGAAATGAGGTATTAGTGCCTTAGAATTAATACTAAATTTCCTTTTTGCCAAACCTTGCAATAGGCTAGAGCCTACCCAAGCCATAGTGTAGTACCCTTGGTTTGGTTAGACGTAACCACACACCGACAAAAACCAAAGTACCAAAGCAACAAAACAATAAACAAACCCCAATATTCAAATATATGGACCACACCCAAAGCATATAAAGCCACGAGTTAAAGCATACCAAACAGAAAAAGGCTAGCTAACCTTTAAAGTGATGATAAATAAGGTGAAAGAGAGCAAAACAATATGAGCAAGAAGCTCTGAAAATTTAGTGCTAAGAATGTACAGAAAACAAGCGCTAGCAGCCGCCATGGAAGTTGTAGTCCTAAGTAAAACCAGGCGAGCATTAGAATCACCAATCCCAAAAGGCAACTTCTTTGCAGTCAATAGCTGCACACTAAGAGTAGCAACTAACCCATATGCAACCATCCCAAACAATGGAACAGGAACACCTGGGAAAACCAAAAGGAACCTTCTTTCAAACACATAATGTAATTCATTTCCAATTCACAAAAGGCCAGTCGAAAGTTTCAATGTTTCTTGTTGTGGGTGATTGTATATTTGAATTCAGTTGGGTATGGAGTTGAAGAGAGTACCAAAAACGACGGCGTAATCGCTGCTGAGGATGTCGCCGCAGCTACCACCGCCGATTGGGCAAAAGGCATCGGAATGTGTTAGCTTGAGATACGTCAAGTACGTCGTTTCTAGAAACCCAACGCCTCCGAGCCCTACATTTAGTGTCTCGCTCAAGCTACTCGAAGACGACTGCGCCAACGACGCCGTTTTGGCATCGGAGTCGGCGTTTTGGTTCGGCTCGGATTCGGAAGAAGAACATGTTATGGGAAGCAGCTGTGATCTCCGACCCCAACCCAGCGTTTTATGGAGAAAAGCGAATCTTCCATGGATGGACAGAGACCTTCGCGCCGACGAGAATGGAGGAGATGTTAGGCTCGCGAACGCCAAGGTAGCCATTTCCACTCTCACATTCCACCTGAAAATCAACTGTGACTCGCGGGGATTAATCTGGGCTGGCTGGGCCGAACTAAATTCCTGTTACCTCAATTTTGGGCCATATGTCTTTGAAGCCTTGCTTATAGCCCAACCCAAATTACTTACTGGTCTATTTTTGGAGTAGAGCCCAAATCATCCTAGGAAAGTTTTTATACCTCGGCGAAGAGGGCCCATAACATGGTATTACCATCACAGACAAAACTTACTCACATCAACGAGGATCAAGAACATAGACTTACATCATGTTACATTTTTTTTTTATAAATACAAGTGATATTAGGGAGGAGGAAATTGAACTTAAAATCTCGGATGCAAAGGTAAATGTTCCTAACTACTTGAGCTATAAGCCCCTTACATTCATCTTTTATATTAAGACACAATTTTCTATTATCTAGCTCTTAATATATGGTATTTTCATTTCTAATTTTAGAATCAAGTATTAAAAAAATATTTTTAACCAAATAGTTTTTTTTTTTTAAGGAAAAAAAAAATACGCAATTCGTCCAAATAGTTGATGTATCACATATGAGAGTTTTTACCCAAAATAAAATAAAAAGATCATTTATGTGATTGTTTCTGAAAGAACAAAAAACATTGAGATTTTTATTATTGGATGGGTTATATAATATCAAATTCCAAAAACCGAAAGAATCTTGTCTGCATTCTCAGCCACCCAGGTGTACATGCATTGCCTATTCTCTGAACTCAAGGTTGAAAGATTGAAACTTATCCATGCAAAAGTATGTGTGCCTCCTGTTGGGTTTATCTGAAATCAGAAACAGCCAGACTTGGCGTGGCATCCATGCCCCTATTCTCTCTCTCTCTCTCTCTCTCTCTCTCTCTCTCTCTCTCACATCTAGTCATCATCTCTGTCCTCAGCTGACACACCCATAAAATAAATAATGACACAACCTCCTCAACCATATTCCATATTTCACTGCTAAGTGCTAAAACACTCACTCGCACATTGCAATTTGCAAATCCCAGATACCAAAACCAAAACATAATCAATTTGCTATCTTCAAAACCATCCAATAATATTAAAAATGGTGGCAATTTCTCTTGTGTCCTCCTCCTCCTGCTTTACTGGCTCTGCACTTCAACGCCCTTCACTTTTTTCTCCTCAAAATCTCAATCAGAGGTATCTTTTTTCACTCAATGTGAATCTGCAGAGACTTGGCACTGGAATTCAAAACAAGAACTGCAACTTCTGGTAAGTAGCAAGCACAAAGAAACCCACCAAAAAATAAAAATAAAAAATTTCTTATAGAATTCTGTTTTTTTTTTTTTTTTTTGTTTTAAAAATTTTGTGTTTTAACCAATCTGTGGGTTTTTTTTGCA